GAGCAGCAAGTAGGAAAGCATTTATTACCATCCTCGAGCCACCTCGCGATTATCGCCATTGCGTTATGTTAAATGATAAGGTTGCTCTTTGTTTTCTATGCCGGGACTTTGATATTTTGATTGGACAGGGCATGAATTGCCCGCAAAGACTGAGAGAGAGCAGTCTAATTGTCAGAAAGCAACGATTCACATACCGTCCTTGTCGACTCCCTCAAAGTCATAGCCAAATGAGAAAGATTCTGAGAATAGTTCTTCATGAGTGTACACTGGAAACATGGGCACAATGACGTCACCTCTGTTGTGACCAATGGGAGCTTCCGTAGCGGAGAGAGCAGACGCGTCCTTCTCGAACTTTCGAAGCCACTTTTCAAAGATTTGATCAACGAAGCAATGGTGAAGGAGAAAGATTGGGTCATTGGACGCTGCCGGGACTGAAGCCATTGCGCCTCCTAACGCAAGGTGAACTATGTTGTGTACAGCAGAAAACCCGGGCGCTAAACGATATCCGCTGGTGGTGTTGGCGTAGCCTTCAAGAAGGTTTCTGAAACTGCAGCTTGACTCTGTGCTAAAAGGTGGGAGGTCGTACGTTTCAAAGCGCAGAGCGAACGAAACTTCTCTCCTGGTAGGAAATGCCACGTTGAACCCGTTGGCGTGTCGTCTTTGAACAGGAGAGCGTTTCAAGTTGCCTGTTTTGACACGAGGATCGCAGAGTTTCGTACTGTCCGTGAAAATCGATCCCGAGGGGTAACATATTGTTAACCAGTTCCCAAAATATTTGCCTGCAACATCGCCGCTTGAAGATACATTACCCAGTAACTTGTCAGAGCAAATTTCACATTTTTCACTAGCCGTCCAATCCCAAAATGGTATTGCATAATCTTCGTCACCAGACAGATCCTGCAAAGCTCTTTCCCAGGCGAGCAAGTACAATCGATGCCAGGTGAGGAAGCCTTGGCCTCGATGAGCGAAATCCATGAAAGGCATCTGCGTTCTATCAGGCAAGACCGTGTTTCTGTTTGTCGTGTAGTAGTGCAGCCAAACGAAAAACTCATGTACGGACACGTTTGTGAACAAAAGGATTGGATCACTTCCATTGTTCATGGTCTCCTTTATGTCCTGGTAGAAGGCTGTTGTCAGCAAATAATCGCTCTCTTCAAATCTGGACATGTTTATGTACATCATGTACTTGTCCTGCTCTTCAGGCGACAAGTTGGCGAAATTTTTACGTACCAGAACTTTGCGCTGGTTGCATTCTTTGCCATGATAACCGTACTTGCATTTGGAGCAGTCATAACCAGCGTAGTTAGCCCTGCATTTACAACTTCTTTCAAAAACCCCTCTTGGCCAATTATGGCGATCGTCCAGTACGTGTTTTGTGTTAAAGTGGTCGTACGTAGCACTCCATTTCCGAACAATTATTTCTCCACAGTCTCCTCTGCTTCCGTCCTCACCACACGGCTCTTTAAAACCGGGGGGAACTGGACAACATTCTCTCCTCTTAAGGCTTTCCATATTAACACATGCCTTGGGGAATTGGCCCTCGACAAGAATCATGACGGAAGCTGTCACCAATATGATGTATCCAACAAGAACAGTGCTCATGTTTCTCATCTAAAAAAGCAAAACGGGAATACGACCTTAATTTAGTAATTGTTGTAAAATAATTGCTTTTCTCTTGATTCCTATCAGTTGCCAAACCAAAATTAGAATAATGGTATCTGAACAGTCGTAGCCCACCAAAATAAGCAATGAACCAATCAGAGCTCACGTCATAACCTTGCAATCGAGAAACCTCTGGCATCTGCTAGAGCTAAGCTTCTTTACAGACATTTTCATCATCTGCGAAAACATCCAAGCAACGCACGTGATAACATTATCCGCGGAAAAACCGGGTATCTAAAAACTAGTAGTAATCAGAGATTATGAGAGTGCGTTCGACGCTCTCACTTTAATATATAGTTTTATATCGTAAATAAATGATTTCACTAGCTGACTTTCAACCTTTGTCTATTGCTAAAATCAACATTTTTCAGCAGCAACCGAGGTTTTACAGTCA